GCGGCCCCGGGACCCGCGGGCCCCGGCTCGGGATGCGCCTCCCGCCCTGTTCCGCCGGGGAAGAGGCGAGGGCCGCTCTGGCCCGCGAGGAAACGCGCCCTGTGCCGGGCAGGGGAAACGCCGCTTCTCTCGCGCAGAGCGGCGAGCTGGGCGCTTTCCCACAGCCAGGCGCTGTGTGAAGAGCTGTCCTGCATAGCCATTATCCCCCTAGCAAACGTGGGAGTGTTAGTACTGCTATATYGCCGCACAGAAAATATTTCTCAAATGCTTTTTCTTTTATATATAATCGTCTCAAAGCTTTACATATGCTACTATCAAATTATGACTCATGTTTATTTTGTGTGCCTGCACTGGCATCGCGATGTGCCTCGTCCATGTGCACAACAAAGCAGCCTTGCACGCTCGCCGTCCCGTCCGCTCTCGCGAGCGAGCGGGGTGGCAGCCTGTGCCCTTCTTCAGCGCTCACGGATGTGTTTCCTGAGCCGGGCTCTGTGCTGGCCCCGGTCGCAGGGCTGTGGTGCTGCCCCGCAGCCAGCACACGGTCCGCTGCCGGCTGCGCTACCTGGGCCGCGCGCTGCCCGGAGATCTGCGGCTCGCTGCCGTTCCTCCCTGAGGCSCTTGGTTCCAGCCTGCATCCCTGTATCCTTAACGGGCCTCGTGGGATTCACGCTCCACATAAATACCGCTCTAGAGAGAAAACAGCTGATGGTTCTTATACGACAATCGTGTGGATGTAATTTCATTAGGTCGTGGTGGAATAAAAGGCTGGAATTGGATAAATGCGCTGTTTTATTTATCACTATCCTGTCAAGATCGAACTGTAACAACTGCGTTTATGAAGAGCGACATAGATTTTTGGTTTTATTGCTATTAAAAAAAAAAATGTTAATTCGGTCCTTTTCCGAGCTTGCTGACAGCTCTAAATTCTGGAGCTCTCTCAACCAACTTCTTTTTTTTAACTGTTTATTACTTTCAAGGATCATAGCAAGGTTATATATGATATTTTAGTAGTAAGATGATATATAAACCTAATGTGCATGATACTATACTTATTTACATCCTCTATCTCTGCATCGCAAGTTTTTTAAATGTTATTTTTTTTCCAAATAAAAGTGTAAAAAGAGCTATGTTAAGATGATWTAAGTAGCAGTCCTTACTAGCATGAGCTCATCCTCCGTAGGGCAGTGTGTATTTCGCTTGGCAGCGCATGAGCTCACTGCATTACCTAAGCTAAGCTGAGGCAATTCCCAGCGCGGCTGGAATCAGCTCAGGGAGCGGAGCTGCTGCTCTCACACTGGTGTCGTGGGGCAGAAAAAGCATTCTGCCTAGCAACAGGGATGCCTCTTTGTGCATCTTCTGCTATCCAAAGGAATAGACGTGAACAGGAGCTTTAAGGGACTGCAAAGCCTGTGGGATTTAGAGGTAAATTCCAGATTCTATTCTGAATGTTTGTGGATATCTAATGCTGAAATACTGAGTGAGTGGGTATTCCACGCAGTAACCCTCCAAATTCTCTGCGTTTTGRATGGAGCTTGTATAAATAACTGCAAGGATAGGGAGTTTATCATRCCACATAATAATGGTGGCACGATAGATCTTCAGCACCATAGACCTTGTTCCTGCCCCATGCTGTTGTATTTAAACTTCTAAAATATAAGGTACCGTGTTTATTTGCTACTTTTATAATTTGATTTTCAGGATTTTTCTTGTGAGCCATTAACTTATATGATCTGCTTCACAGGTCTGGAATCTTCTTTTAAGCGAGAAGACTTCTAAATTACATCAGTGCTCCAAGATCCAGGTAATAGTAMTCAGTGCAACCTTGAACATCCTCAAAGCTGCTAAAATATAAATACTCTTTTCCTTAAGAAACAAGTAAAGAGAAAGCTGCAAATGCTCCAAATGCTGCTTCTGATGCACTAGTAATTATTGTCACGGGAAATGTATGGTTGCAAGGTGTTTTGACTAGTCTGCAAGTGTGAATTTAACAGGCAATAGTATGACTTTGTAAGGTGGCAAACACAGTTGCCAGCCTTATAGATTTAAGTAAGGATCTCCATCAAATAATTTTCAGTCATTTGGTAACAGCAGTTTGCAGATTTTTTTTCCTGGTTCTTAAACTTTAAGATTAACTCGCAAAAATATTCATGTGCTTTCCAATAAAGCTACTTAGGGATTACTCAGAAATGCTGACTTGTGTATACCAATACTTGTATTCCTAGATTAAAATACTCTGTGAAGAGACCTATATATTTTTTCTATTGTCTCTGTGAAAAAACTTAAGAAAATATGACAAAAATTGAGGAATATGTATGAAAGTGAACTGTCATATTTCTATTTATTTACGTTTTTAAGCTGAGAATTAAGAGCCGTAATGATGGATATAAGAGATGCACAGCAATCGGGGGAAGATGTGGAAGATGCAAAATCTGTTCCTGGTTCCAAAGGGTAAGTGAAGTATTTTGGAGTTTACATCTTGAATGTAATGCCAGGTGAAACCTTGCCCTCTTTACTGAAGGTTGTAAGTAAATATAGACTTCTGTTTATAGTGATTTTTAATAATCATAAGTTAAAATTAGTGGCTCTGGTAGTATCCAGTCTCTGACAAAGCTGGGCATGTGTACATGTAAGGTRTTAAAAAGCAAAGCTCTTGTGGGGCAGCTAGATTGGCCTTAATGGTATTATCAAGTCATTAGCTCCTCTTGAAAAGAGAAACCTCCTGAAGGTGCCCAGCCTTCCTGAGTGATACTGGAGCTCTTTGTGCCTGCAGTGACTGGGGAGCTGCTTAGGGTGACCTGCTGTGGAGTCAGATGTGCAAAAACAGCATTGCAAACTTCTTAAATTGTAGTGTGTAATAAGATGCTGTGGACACCAATCTTAGTGCCAGTTTGCAGTAAGAAAACCTWACTTCAGCATGTATTGACCAGATAAAATTTAAAGGACCCTTAAAATCCTGAGTGCTGCTGTAGCCAGTGTGCATGTGGGGGCAGAATTACAGCTGCATATAGTTCTGGCATTTCCTGGCTTTTGAACGTTCACCTGTGAAAACTCAGTACTAGCATGGCTTTTGATTAAAAATCAGCTGTAGATTTGCCTTCTTGCACCTAGCTTTGCTTCCAAGTACATGGATAGCAAAAGATAATAGTAAAAAACAAAATTTTTGTTAGTATAATCATTGGTTTCCCTAGATTAATATTTGTGTTCCCCCATACAGAGACATTATCATTTCAGACTCAATTCTTCCTCAATTCTTYAAGCTTGTTACATGTTGCACGGAAGATTCATACATATACAGATGACTTTCTACAAAGCTGCTTTATTTGTGTGCATGCACATTTTCCAGGACTTGAAAGCCAAGTTTGGGAGCATTACTAGACAAAGAAATTTTACTTGTCATTTTGACCTGTGTGCCAGTGCAGTGCTTCGTTAGTCTTAGGTCAGCTCTGATCAGTATTATCAGTCCACTGATTTCCTAGACCTCACTTCTAGGCAACAAGTAGCAACCTTATTGTTTTCATTGATTTTTGTTGAAATGAACTTTTTTCTTCCTGTACAGCAAGAGCCTTCCTGTTAGCAGGTCTATGGACTCTGGAATGCTGCCAGACTACACTTACAGAATGGACTATCCGGAGATGGGAGAATGTGTGATAATAAACAACAAGAACTTCCACCGAGAGACTGGTATCTCATTTGAATTAAAGTGTTTTCTTTAGTTCAAATAAACTGGCTACGTTTTTTTTTCAAACTAAGTACACCATTTAATTTTGATGATCTAAGATTAAATTGCTTAAATGAGTGCAGTTTATGTTGATTTTCAAATATGCAGAGGTCATGTTAGAGTATAGTATTATTGGGGGAAGAATTGATCTGCAGTGCAATTCTGTCTTAACTTTTAGTCACAATATGTTACTTGCAAATGAAATCCTTCTCTATCAACTTATCTATATAAAGAGAGGAAAAATAAGTAGCAAAATTCCAAAATGATATGGAGAGAAGGGGAAGGTATGCATAGTGTTCTAGACTGATAACAGGTGTAAGAATTTGGCTCATAGTGCTGTCAATATCGTATCAAAACTATGTTTCTTTTTTGTGTAGGAATGTTAGCTCGTTCAGGTACAGATGCAGATGCTGCAAGCGTTAGAGAAGTTTTTATGATGCTGGGATATAAAATCAAGCTTAACAATGATCTTTCATGCAGGGATATCTTCAAACTACTGAAAAACAGTAAGTAATAAGATCAATGTGTGTATTTTAAATCCATTATTATTTCTACATACACTTCTTGCATGCATATCCTGTCTTCCATGTTTCCCTTCCATTATTTTTTTACACCTGAATATCTAAGTTTATTACTAAGGATCACATGTGTGTGCATTAYAGTCTCTATTAATCTGTTCATCTCCTGTGCCACAGGATACTGAGGAAATAGTCATTTTTTTTAAGATGGTTGCAGGGCAAAAGGGCTGAGACTTAAATGCTCTTCTGACCCATGGATCACTGCAGGTRGTCCAAGCTCTGCAAATTAAAGAAACCCTTGTAATTGAGTAGAGGGGTCTGTCTTCTGTGCTTAGTGGTCTGGCCCAAGAGTAATTTTGATCCAAATAGTGTTCTAATTAAGTGACCAAAACAGCAAGTGCCTGGACTGAATTACCATTGGAAAGAAATAACCTTTGTTTTGTCTGATATGGTTACTGACCAGAAATTTGGTATTCTGCATAGCTGTAAAGACATCACCTCACAGGAATGTTACTGGTTTCTCCTGGAAACTTTTACATCTTAAGGTGCCCACCCAGAATTCTTCTGGATCCCTTCTTTTAAATTGAATACTTTCTTTCCCTCTCATATGCTGTAAAGAAACATCTGGGTCCTCAAGTATAGCCTTAACAGTAAAAGAGGCCATAGAGCATCTGTTTTATGCTCTATGTGCACCCTAGGTTTAAAAGAGAGGGACAAAAATCTTAGGAAACCTGGAGTCAGCCAGAGAGAAGTCTTTCTGTGAGTAAAGAGATACTGTTGATACTTAYGTTCCTGCAGCAGGAACAGCATTCGTGTTGGATTTGGTTGACATGTAATACCAGCACTTGCAAGTCCSTTCCAACTAAAAAGGCAAGACTTCCATTTCCCAAAACATATACCTCCCCATGGGTCTGTGTCCAGATCTGGAGACTGACCTCTGTGAGAGCAAGGGGTGCCATTTAGGCTTTGAAATGCTGCGTAAAATCGCTATGGCCATTCACCAGTCTCCTGACTATGTCTATGGCCARTTCTGTGGCTGTGTGTTAGAATGGGTAGGTTTGGCCTTCAGTTTGGGGATGTCTGTGCTCAGCCTGCTGAGGGCAGGTAGGCTGCTTCCTTTCATTCAGAGGTAAAAACCGATCCTGGAGTTCCAGATTTGTCAGTAAATATGAAACCAGGGAGTTCTGTTAGTAGTATCAAATGTTTGGAGATCGGGAGGGAATACAAGAAGTTAATTCTCTTCTTTCAAGTTTCTGAAGAAGATCACAGCAAGAGAAGCAGCTTTGTCTGTGTGTTGCTAAGCCATGGTGAAGAAGGCCTCATCTATGGTATAGATGGCCCCCTTGAACTGAAAGCACTAACCAGCCTTTTCAGAGGAGACAAATGCAGGAGTTTGGCAGGAAAACCCAAGCTTTTCTTCATTCAGGTGATGTACAACTGAATCGTGATCTTCACATAATCTGAATAATAGAAAAAGGTGTCTTTCCCTTTAATTATCAATGCAAAATGAATAATTATTCTTAAAATTGATTCAGAATTGAATTAGTTTCTGAATCTGATTATCTTCAGAACTGAAAGTGATAGTCTGGCCTACTTAGGCAGTATGTGTAAAAATTCAGATTACTTAATCCATAGAATTAAGGTGCTGCAAAATCTTACTAAATGGTAACAARTATTTTAATGAGTTTCTGGATGTACCTGTGAGTTAGCTACTTTAATCAGACTGGRTAGTTGATTTAAAATCAACACTAGTTGCTTCTCAAGCTAATGAAAATGTATATATGAGTTTTGTTTTTGAAGGTTAATTGAAGTCAATTTTGAAATATCAGTGTATGGATGATTATTGTTGCCTTAATTTCTCACTTCTATTTTATTCTCTGTTCTTCTCACCAAACAGGCTTGTAGAGGCACAGAATTGGATTCAGGTATTGAGGCGGACAGTGGACCAGATGAACCAATGTGTCAAAAAATACCTGTAGAAGCAGACTTCCTGTATGCGTATTCTACTGCTCCAGGTGAGAGACTTGCAAAGAAAATGTTTATTGCTGAAATTACTCATAGATATAGTCAGCTGATACTGATACTCCAAATGACAATTTGAATTTACAGTTGTCTTTGAGTACCCTTTAGTGGAAGATTACTTCATTTGTCTTTATTCAGGACAATAAGAATTTTCATTCCATTTTTTTCTTTTCCTTGATTTGATTTCCTTTTAAGATAGGTGCTACTCTTTTTCCTACTAAACATTGCTATAACATAGAAGGTGCACATGTAGATATATCTGCATGCTGCCACTTCTTAGAGATCCATAATTTTTCATTCCTCTTTCTTCAGTGATGTAGTTTCTTTCAGTGATGGATTAGGAGGGATGTGAGGATTAGAAAAGTATTTTCATAAAATTTGAGGAAATCATCAAACCTAGACTTTTGTTTAGTGGTGTCTGGATATGCTTTTAAACTAATTTGAGAACCCTTTTGTTACTATTGGAAACAATATATTGTTTCTCTAATTCCTATCCTGTCTTATGTCAAAGGATGCTACATCTGACTGATTTAATACGTCTCTCCTCCACAGGCTACTACTCCTGGAGAAACGCAGCGGAAGGCTCCTGGTTTATTCAGTCGCTGTGTAGGATGCTGAAGGAGCACGCAAGGAAACTTGAACTCATGCAGATTCTAACGCGGGTAAATCGCAAAGTGGCAGAATACGAATCCTGCTCAAATCGGCAAGATTTCAATGCAAAGAAACAGATTCCCTGCATTGTTTCCATGCTCACCAAAGAGTTTTATTTCCCTTCCTAAAAAAAATYCCTGTACCTTGTGATTATTTTTTTAGCTTCTGTTTCTTAATTTGTAATTTATACACAATGTTAGTATGGAATACCACTTGAAATTACTGTTCACTACTGTGTGTAGTATAGAAGAGCTGCCTGAGTTAGATGTGTCTGTTAGGAGTATAACTGCTTGTATCAGAAATTCAAAATGAAAGGGCTAAAGCACTGGCAAATTTGAAAATATTGTTCTGAATACATGGAGCAATTAGGAAGAAAAGACTGAGGAAAGATAACATCACCTCTGATTTGGTGCTACATTTCCCGTTACTGAAGAGGCAGAGGAGAACTGTTTTTGTAAACAGTTCGGATTCATATCTTTGTAGTAGGGAAAAATCAAGATATATGGTATGTACTTACTAGTGATGATGATAGTAGTGTCATTGCACATTTCTTAAACTTGTGCTTTTAAAGATTAGGTTGTAGATTAACTTAAACCTTTTTTAAAATTATTGTTTTTCCACTGTTTATAATCKGTTTCATTTTTTACACACTTTAGGGAGAATAGTTAGTGAAGACAACTTTGTCCAGGTTATTTTCTATGATATATTGGGTATCTATTTAAAAATAAGTTGTACTGAGGGACCAGTCTTCCAAAAKGTCTTCTTCCCACTTCTCTCCCACCTCCCCACCCCCCACAAAAAAATCAGTGCAAAAAACTGCACTCTGAATAATCTGGGTTCCTTGTTTTGGCTGTAAATTAGAAGTCTTTCAGGATCTGCTTTGCTAAGTATGCACCCTTTTTTAACCTGTGTGAAAGTCTACATTTGTGGCATTGAAAAAATTCATTTTTCTATGTTAAGTATCAAATGTGACAATTTCTCATGTCTTTTATGAGAGTTTACTAAAAGGATATTAAACATTAAACCTTTTAATGTTGTTTCTGAGCTTTYTGTCATGCTTTAATTGTGACTAATATTGAAGCTGTGAAATAGGGTTTTTATAGAATTGGAAAGCACTGATTTGTTTTAGCTTGTAACAGTCTTGGTGAAGACAAAAAGAAAAGTCAATAATAAGTGACTACATGGAGTCTTTGCAAACAAGGCTTAACTCTTGGAATTTTATAGTATGAATAAGGGAAGCAAAGTGATGCTTATAGAAGCTTGGGGATTTTTACTTTAACAATATTTAAACTGTGTTACTGTCTTATACATATAGGAACATATTTATATCATTTATGTTCTGATAACTTTCAAAATGTCTGTTTTCCTCAAAATATACTTGCCATCTGCTTTCCATAAATTTGGAGAGGTGGCTTCAGTGTATTTTATGCCTTATAGTTGGGTCATAAGAGAAAATAAGATATGGCAAATGCAGACTCAACTTATGCAAAGGAGGCAATTTTAAGTGTCTTGGATGAGTGCTGTGACTGCTGGATAAAAGGAGGAGCTTCATCACCCACTTATCTCGAAAGTGTGATGTAGGCCTGCTCTAAGTGACAGAATTATGATCCACATTTCTATTGAAAAACTAAGCAGGTCTCTGGTAAACATACCTAAAAATAACACTTACAAAAGCCCRTGTGTAGGTTTGCTCATGCGGGTTGTGCCTCAAAACCAACAGCTACACAGCTGTATTGTAGCAAACTGACAGTCTTCCTTTCATCTACTTCAAAGTAAATGGGAATATGAAGGCTCCTTGAATTCTTGGTTATTCTRCTCTGTTGAAAGTTGTGTCACTGGGTGTGATTTTTACCTTAGATTTACAATGCTCAGATCTTGATTTTTTTTCTATCTGCTCTTCAATCACACTTTTATAAGAATTGCTTTCTCTTGGAGCCTGGGCACCTCTGAAGTTTGAATACATTTTCTTTCCTGCCTTTTAAAAGGACAGGTTTAAGTTGGGATCATACTCAACTTGACAGTTTTGTGCTCTGCCCTACAGCCTGTGACTAATATTAAATTGAATGTCTGGCACCTTCATCTGCCTTTCATGTGATTTATGAGAACAGAGTTTTYGGGTTGCTTTTGGTTTGCCTGACCCCCTCAGAAAAGCCCCATGAAGTGCTGTGAATGTTGTACCACAAATAATATGAAATGACTTCAAGAGATACAAATTCTACTGGACTCTCCTAGAAATGAGTACAAATGCTCAGCCCCCACATATTAAGCCAGAGTAGTGGCAATACAAATGCAATGTCCAAAAATATGTAAACCTCGCATTCTTAAGCCTACTACATTTACTAAACAGTACTTGATACTGTTTGCTAAGCAGTAACAAGACTTGGTGCTTGGAACTGTGTTTTTGTTGTTTTTGTTGCCTTTCAAAGTGTTATATTCAGTGGTAGGTCCTGTGCTAATTGAAACAGTGCTGCTTTAATGACAGAGGTTTGAGCTAGCGAAGCCTTGCTGCTGCAGAGCTGCTTCAGCCACAGCAATGCTACTGCTCTGGAATAACTCTTTTAGCTGGAGGAGCTAAAATAATAGAGGCTTGGGAAAGATGTCAATAAAAACAGAAGAATGCATTTGAAAATGGTTTGGTTTGTGAGGACCAAGCAATGGAAGTGGTGCTGTGCAGGAGCCCTGCCAGGCTATGAGCACAGTGGATCTTGGTGGGATAARTCACAGAGGATGGGTGGACTAGCAGGGTCCTTAGCTTGTTAGCAAGCCTGAGAGGCTGATGAGCACAACTGTGCATGGCTGTGGTTAGAAACTGCTCAGACACAGATCTTCCCTGGAAGGGACCTCTAGAGCTCACCTCATCCAACTGCTGGTTCAGAGCAGCCCTGGCACCAACCTGAGCTTGGGTCAACTTGCCTTTCTCTAGCTAAGCCTAAGAACATCCAAGGATAACTCTGTACGGTAACTCTGGTGGGTATCCTAAGCTCTACTGATTCTGAATTCCTTGATGAAAAAGGCTCTTAAATAAAAAATCAAGACCTTAACTAACTGCATGTGAACACATACCCTGGTAACTTTTCAACTGCCATTTGAAGAAATAGTGTGTGTGTGTGTGTGTGTATGTAGTGTAGGTTTATGTGCCGTTTAAACTATTTTACAGTGTTCTGTTAGAGCTAGGCAGTGTATGCATTGACTCACTTTCAGAAATGGTAGCAKTAGGGATAGTAACAGTGACAGCATCAAACTTTTTTGCAGTTGTATCTTATATGGAATGGTGTATTCTAGTAGGAAAAACTAACTTTGTTATGTACTCTGTCTTGTTAAATGCAGTCAGGGAAACAGCCATAGCAAAATGCGTGTGTTTTCTTTTTTAAGACATCAGGGTTAAACTACTGCTTCCTTACCACAGGGTGTCACTGTAGATAGGAAAATCTCCAAAATAGCATTGGTCTTTGATAGCAAAACAAAAATCTCTTGCAACTCTTGCACATTGAAGTGTTTGTTTTATATTTTTCTGCTGTCAGTCAACTTGAGTGTTTATTATACACTGGGGCTTGCATCCCAAAATACACGAGAACATCATATAATTGATTTCCAGGAAAATCTCTCTGTCTCTTTGCATATCAAAGCAAAACYAAAGCAGCTTATCTTAAAGGAAAAACAAAAATGGTTCTCTTCTATCTAGACTTGAATTTAGAGCAGCTCCTACTGTAGAGTCCTCTGGACAGCTAATGTGCAGATAACACTATAATATCTGAAGCAAAAAACTAAAATTTCTGCTCTACCTGTGGTGATATTTAAATGCATGAGCATGACTGCTTGCTTTACCTACCATGAATCCTAACTGCTGATAACAGGATTCTCAAATGTTGTAAGTTCTCAAATCCTGACTGTGAGTCTTAAAGTGATAATATGTACTTGGACTTTTCCTGGGTAAAACAAAAACCGACACCTAGTTTCTCTAAACAAAGAAAACACACCTTTTTCTTRCTGCTAACCAAGGTCTTCTGTTGTGAAAACAGTAACATTAGTAAAGTAGCTCATGAAACTTGCAGAAGAAAGCTGTGCCTCAGCTATTTCCCAGGAGCTTTTTGCTTAGTATTTGCCCGTAAGATCTGGAACCAGATTTTTAGTATTGACTGTTTCACAGAAGTCTGAACTAGATGATCTAAGGGGCCTTCCCAGCTTGAAGGTATTGACTAGAAGAAGGCCTTTCAGGCTTATCTCTTTACCCTTAGACAAGAACCGGAGAGGAGCACTGTCTGCAAGCACGTTGAGCTGTACCAATGCTGTTGAGCAGCTGGAGACTTCCCTCATGCAAAAAGGTGTGTATAGGTGAAGAGCCCTAYATTAGCTGAACAATCATTGAGCAAATATTGGTTCCATTTAACCACACTACTCTTCCACAGAACAGTGGAAAGGTCTCGTGCTSTGCAGCTTCTATCCAAACACAGCTGGGACTCAGCTACTAAACTAACCCTAACTGGAGTTTGCCCGCTGTGTTATGTGAGAATGTCTTTTGGCTCCTTTGTAAGAGGCAGAGCTTCTGCTTTCTCTCCTTGTCCACTTCCCCTATTGAAAGGAGAGCTCTGGGTCTCCGGGCCAGCTTCCCTGCCCTTCAGCTTCCTTGGATGTTCTCCCCAGGCGCTGCAGCGAGGCCCTCGGGCAGGATGCGGCCCTGGCGGCAGCCCTGGCCTCGCCAGCCCAGGCCCAACGGTTCCCCTGGGGAGCCTCTTCACCCGCCGCGCTTCCCTGGCCCTGCTGGCTGCTCATCCCGCGCTTCCCCGGCCCTGCTGGCTGCTCATCCCGTGCTCTCCCGGCTCGCTGCGGAGGAGGCTCCGAGCGCCGTGCGGAGCTGAACGGAGCCGCTGCACAGGGCGCTGGAGGCCGCACCTCGCGTGGGCTCCACGTGCTGGATCTATGGGTGGTAGCGGGGCCTGCTTGGCACTGCTGGAGACGCGGGGCTGTTCAGGAGACCAGGCAAGCTGAAGGGGCCCTCTCGGGTACATGGTGTGCAGCTCCTAACAACATTGACCTCCTTGGGCATGTCCATCGAGTTGTATTTAATCAAGTTTTTTTTTCCAAGGTACCCCTTGGAAAAAGCTCCAGCAGGGATCGCTGAGGAGACAGTGGAGTTGACAGTATAAGTTGAAGAGCCCAAGAGAAGGCCAGCATGGATGGCTGGTGCATTTAAATATCTGACAATGGCTCTGGGAGCCTCCGAGCAGAGCAGACTTCACCGCAGCCCATCAGCCACTCCGCATCTCTCAAGTTGGATGTTGACCTTAGGAATGTAATCAGAGAGCTGATTATAAATAGTTTGTGCAGTTGCCGATGAGATTAAAATGTGCTGTGGCAGCCACTTGGAAGTAGAGGGTTACTCCAGTGTGTGCCTGGGATGCTGTGTGATGATTAATCTGTGGGTCCTTGTTAAGCCTAGAAAGGGAAGTGGATAAAGAAAGCTCAGAAAATGCTAGCAGGGAGGGGAAGGAGGAAGAAGCCTGGCTTGCGGAGCTGGGGAGCCAAGGACATGGGGGAAGGAGCCAGAGAGCAGGGAAAAGCGAGGAGGGGGAAGGACGGTCATTCAAAGTGCTCAGGAGAGTGGGGATCGCAGACGGGCATGGGGTGGGCAGGTGGTGTGCAGCACTGCAGGTGAAAGGCTAAAAGAGAAAACCCCAAACCAGGGAATTGCCCCGAACAGCAGAGGTGAAAACCTCCAGGAATCCATCAGCGCTGATGTGCGCTCCAAGGGCAGCGTGTGGTGCGTGTCGGGAGGGGGAAGAGGGCAGAGGGACCCGGCACTGGGATCCAGGGAGATCCCGGCCTGCTGGGCCTGGCCTCCCCTCCAGGAGAGC